ATATATATATATATATATGTTTAATTTTATGACTCATTTGCAAAATGTCATAAAGGAGCGATACCCATCAAATGCAAGGTATGACTTCTCTACACTGGAGCAGAGTGCAGGCAGAGGAGAATTCCAGCTAGTTTCTGGAGAAAAAGCCTGATTTTATTTTTTTCAAATCAACTTTTCTTGACATACCTTTACTGATTTTTAGCACAACTGCTTGTATTATGGGGTCAAAATCTGTGGAGTCTGCACATCGGCTGCAACTGACATCTTCAAACCTGTTGAGAGTTGATATTCAGTGAATATTGTGTTCCTCCCTCTGTCTTTTGGGTGTACCTGATAAATAGGCTCACTCTGCTCAGGCAGTAATCTGGCAACAATAAAGGTTCTCTTCTTCCAGTGAAATGGTTGATGGTCGATGGTCACAGATAATATGAAAATACAAAATTAGAGTTGGTTTTGTCTCCTGCTCAAGATAAAACTGTATGACATTAAAGGCCCATCTTTACTGTTCTGCAGGTGTAAACAGGCCTAGTGCAGTGTTGTCACTTATGCCAGGTATTCTTTCTCTTTGATATACAGTCCCAGCATTAATAACAACAGGAGGGTTTGGAAAAGCGAGGAAGAGAAGAGCTGCAGCTGATGGCAGTGAAAGAGCAGGGTAAGTCAGAGGCTCTGCAGAGGGGCTCAGTCATACTCCAGTGTCTCTCTGGCTGCTGTTTTGGGCCCACATTTCTGCTGATCAGTCAGCATTTCCCAGCAGCAGAGCTGCACTTTGCTGGAGCGGGTTCTGCTCTCCCCTTGGCGACAGCAGCCCCTGCAGTACCCCTGGAGGTCTGGGTCTGCCTTGATGTAAGGCCAGGACAAGACTGAAGTTCAGCTCTTTGTTCATGGCATCGCTTCTGTTTTGTTATGTGATCAAAAAGCCAAAGACCATTCACTTCAGCTCTTCCCAGGGTGGAATCTGGTGCAGTTGGCACTTTATGTAAGTGGGCTAAATTCTCAGGGGGAAGGTTTTGCCTCCCCTGTTTCAGCCCCCCTTGGCTGTAACTCTGTTTTCCTTTGCATCATTGTGGCACAGCACAGGTCCGGGCAGGGTTGTGCAGAAAGCTCTGTTATATTTTACCTCTGAGACACAGCCATCTCTGCGTGTGCTGCTCTGCCTCCAGACTGGTGCCTCAAGCCCAGGGCAGCTGGCACCAGCCTTCCCAGTGTTTTCCTGGTTGAGATCATCCAGAGCAGCAATGGTGGTGGGAAAGGGTTTCTCCCGCCTTGTAACTCCTCATGCAGAGCTTTGCAAACTTGTTATGACCCAGGGGTTCTAACTACAGTCCCCAGTGCTTTTCCTGTTTCTTGTTGAGGGCTGCTATTCCTGTCAACTCTGTGTGGAGCTTCCCAGGGCTACTGCTGCAGCATGAAGCAGCCAGGCTCTT